TGGAACTCTTTGCCAGAGGATGCTGTGAAGGCCAAGACTATAACAGGGTTCAAAAAAGAACTAGATAAATTCATGGAGGATAGGTCATCCATCAATGGCTTATTAGCCAGGAGGGGCAGCGATGGTGTCCCTAGCTTCTGTTTGCCAGAAGCTGGGAATGGACGACAGGGCATGGATCACTTGATAGTTATCTGTTCTGTTCATTCCCTCTGGGGCACCTGGCATTGGCAACTGTCGGAGGACAGGATACTGGGCAAGATGGACCTTTGATCTGACCCAGTATGGCTGTTCTTGTGTTTTTATGTTAAATCCTGGTGTAGCCCAGTGTAATTGCATTGAATTTAATGGAGCTACAGCTACTTACATTCACACTGAATCTAGTCCATATTCATTAGGACTCCCCATGTAATAAGATACTGCTCAACATGAGTGATGGTGACAGAACTGAGCTTGAACATAAACAGATAACAAAAACTGAGTCCTAGTCTATATCTGTGAATTTAGAGCGAGGATGATTTTGGCCCAATCAGCTTCCTGTTCACAAGCTCTGTAATTTACAGACTTCACACTATTCATTGCTAGTACAGGTGGATGCAGCTCTGTTAAATTCAGTGAAAATACAATGTGGTATGCCGACAGTGAATGCATCCCTATGGCTTTATCCAAGACATGGTTATGGTCAACTATTTTGAACATTGACATAAAATTGAATAGACATACGGAGTGAGATCTTCAAATCCCATTTCACAATGGAAACTGCATCCAAATCTATTAATTGAATTTAAAAAGTAAAAATCCCACCACAATTGTCCTGAAAAGAAAAGAAAAGAAATAGAAGGAATTGTGAGAAATGAGAATGAATTAATTGAAACCAAGAAGACTACTCATGGAGTAATGTACTCCTCAGCATGAGTAAGGGTACCAGAATAAGGCCTGAAGTATTGTATTATTCATGCAGAATGAGGCCCCTAATCTATTGCTAATACTCTCCCACCAGTGCACTAGCTAGGCACCATCAACAGGCAAGAAATGAAAAACACATTACTTAATTTCTTTTTTTTATTCGTGTTCATATTCCATTTAATCTGAAATCTTTTCTATTAAAATTCATGTGAGTATTCAACAAAATTGTAAAATATGTATTGTGTTTAAATTAGCCCTTTTAAAAAAATATACAGAGTGCCAAATCACGAGTCTTACCATATTATTAAAAGGGATTTAAAAAACAAAGATTCTTCAAGTTACCTAATCCACAAAACAAGCACTTTAGCCGAGTTCACTCTTACTTTAATTCCATAAGGACCAATAATGATTAAATGATGCACAGACTCAGGCTGAGGATCAGGTGCAATGATTCCCCAGAGTAACAACCCACAAACTGGGCAAATCAATTTCAGTTTTAGCTTCAATCAATCAGTTTTAGAAAAAAAAGTTAAGTCACGTACATATAGATTTATATGCAAATCGTAGATAACAAATGATAAGCAACTGTGTCTGAGGAATAAATATATACCTTATAGGGGCCGCTGGTGACATTATAAACCTCAAAAGAATTGGGATGTCACATAATAATGTTACTTTGCACTTTTCATCTTCAGAGTACTTTAACTAATTAATCATCACAAGGCTACTGTGAAATAGTAAGTATTATTATCTCTCTTGTAGATGGGGAAGTTGAGGCAGCCAGATTAATTAGTGACTTGGCAAAGTCAAGGTCAGAGCAGAGCTTAGAACTCAAGAGTTCCTGGCCCTGAAACCCATCTCTCTCTAGAATCACAAGGTATCTTTTGACCTTTTGTGTGCCGTTCTTCAGCCTAATTCCTTTCCCTGACACTCCTATTTCTTTTACTTGAGTGCTTATTTACATTCTTTCCTGTTTCTTCAATGCACCCACTCAGAAATTTAAAAAACAACATTTTTAAACTGGAAAAATAAATTCCTGAAGCTCCCAAACAACTACAGACCTCCAGAGTAATTCACCAGGAGAGGGCTCAGATTTCCCTTGGCCTCTCATTGCAAAACCTTTGCTGAAAATCACCCAGACTCCTGATTACCAGTTCACTTTTGCCCATTGAGAAGTGGTATGTATTCTACCATGTCTCTTGTAATTCCAACTAGAGTACGTGTGTGTGCCAACATGGGAGCTGGTTTTCAAAGAAATGGAACAATGTATGGTGGGTCTGAGAAGGCTGGATGAAGCTCTACAACAAAAAATGTCTGCCTCCAAAATGCCAATGCCAACAAATGTGGCTTTTGTGTCATGGTGAGCTAGTTAATCAGAAGTTTGGACTATAATTTACATAAAGGGTCCTCACAAGGTGAAGAATGACCTCAACTCCCTTTGACTTCAGTAGGCAATGACTGAGGGTGCTTAGAACTTTTCAAGAGGTACTCGCCTCATGTCAGAATTGGGCCCAAAGAGGGCAACCTTTATAGAAATTAAAATGGATGCTGAACTGTAGGCCAGGCCAGGTGCTAAAATACTGCCCTAATTGATTCTAAATGCAGCAGAGAACCTGCCTCTTAATGGCTAATAGTCCATTGCTTGGAGAATTGCTTTACCCCACCAGCATTGCTCTTTGTCAGGCTTCACTCATCCTTTCCTTCCCCAAGCTGATGCAAATGTAGCCTAGACTTATCTTGTTAACTAGGCACATGCAAGAGGGAAATCAGTGGGAGAGTTATTTGGTGCTGCAGCTGCCAAGAAAGGGAACGGTATATAAAAAGAAGAGTTCTCTATTAAGCAGGTGTATTCCATAAAGGATACAATGGTGCAACATATGATGTCACAGGTTCAAGCTCTCCTCCACACACAACCTGATCCATGTCCAGTTCTCCCAAACATGCTCACTAATGCAATTTAATGTCTCCCATGCACCCTCACTCTTATGCATCCAGTTCTCCACATCTACTCACTGATGTGCATACATACATGATGATATATATTCCTTTCTCCCCATATATGCATGCTACTGCTTAAAGTATCTGTTCTTGTCTACATTGACGTACACACCCTTCATTTCTCTCACAGGTATTGAGACACAGTGGTGATGGGCACAATGCAAAAAGACATTAGCTAGATGGAAGCTTATTCATTCTCCCTCACATGTATTTTTTGATGCCTATCCCTCCATAGATTTGCTCCTTCGCAGATTCACTGATGCATGCCCAGTTCTCCCACACACTTGCTTACACATATCCAGTTCTTCTATGTACACACTTGCTTATCCTTATCCATGACTTCTCCATAGACTCACTGCTGAATATCCAGTTCTCATAGCGTTGCTGAGGCATACCCAGTTTTCTACAGTCATATACATATACATTGTACATATACATTACTGCTAGTTTTAAAATAGTGAGTCTACAAACTAGACGTGAAAACCAATGCATGACCAGCTCCCAGCAGAGCACAGGTATCCAACCTGTGCAGAGGGAGCCCCTTGTGGGTCTCAGTTGTGGGGCAACTGTGTTAAGAAGAAAATGTTTATTTGATTATTAATTCAAACTGCGCTCCTTGAGCTATGCCCTGTGGTTTTTACACTGAAGTGTTTGAACAAGTGCCAAGTTTTCTATTTGTTTGTTTGTTTTTACTCACTGCTGTAAGTCCTTGGAAATATGAAACTGAATTTTCTTTTCTTTATTGCTTTCATCAACGTCCATTGTGTGTACTCACTGGTATGATGCAGGGTTACTCGGAGAGGCTAGTGATAGCAATGAATAATTTGTTTTGGGGGAAAAAACCATGTAAGGTGTACATGAGGGCCTGATCGTTCCCCTGACACGCAAAAAGAGGACCCTCCAAGTGGGATCTCTCTATCCACATGGGAAAAAGGAACTGGATCAGACACCTCATGGCACTGTCCTTTCTTTCCTCACGGTGGGAAAGGACAGCTCTCTCCAGCCTACTGGAACTATCCAGAATGGACTGGAATTGATGTACTAAGAAACATATTCATTTCCTTTCAGCAACCATGCAGGGAATCTGCAGAACAGTTAATATGGCCAGAGGCTGTGTTACTCTTTCCATGGAGCTGCTCCTTTGCTAGAGGCACCTCTGTCAGAGGGTTTCTGGGACAGTAGCTTAGTGAAGATTCCCTAGCTGTACAGCTGCAATAGAACCAGTGGGAATGCAGCTCTCACCAAGATTCATCCAGATCTCTATGGATCCATGAATTCTGGACCCCTCGCGTGTTCCCATTCTGGGGGAGGAAGCAGGAAATCTCATCCCTGCCCCCCATTGAACAATCTAGGGGAAAACTGCACAAGAGGAATCTCACTGAATTTTCCTGGCCCTTTCCTATGAGGTTTTGTTTTTCCCATGAGAGGGAGTGATAAGGTCCAGAAACTTTGGTAGGTATAATTTGGGCTTACCAAACTTTACGAGATATATATATTTGAATGTTTGCTCTGTCATCCACTAAAACTTAGTTTATTTCCTTCACTCAGCTTTCGTTCTGTATTTTCTGTATGACCTAATTAGTATTTCCTATCCTTACCTTGGTGTCTGATTCTGCTCTCTTTGAAACCAATGGGAGTTTTGACTTTGGCTTCATGGGAACTGGACAGATTGAGCCTTTGGGCCACAATCCTGCGACTCTGAAGCATGTGCTTCACTTTATGCAAGCGAGCTGTCCCATTGGCACCAATGGAACTATTCACCTGTGTAAAGTTAACCATGATCTTAAGTACTTGCGGGATCAGGGCCATCATTAACTTTCAAATTTTAAAAAAAGTGTATAGTTACTTTGCAAGTTGTGCTGCACATCACAATATCAGCCGATGAATGCTATTTCCCCTCACTGAATTTGTTAATTAAAGAGTAAGATATAACATACAGCGCAGCACTGCTGATTAATGCATGCCTCGGGTGCATAGCAAAATCCTATAATCTCAGAGGCAGTGCCACCGTGAAGTTCATTATTCTGCACTATAGAGGAGTACCATCTGGAGTGACTCATTATGATTAGAAAATGGACATCAAAGCAGATAATGGCATATATTTTTAATTTTCAAAATTGTTCTTCTGTTAAGTATCTTGTACAATATAGTCCTTAAGGAATGCATTCATAAAAATTACAATTATAATATTTTAAATTGGGTTATGGAAGATTCTTTCAGGTTTTGTGAGGCCAACCCTGTCTTCCCTCCATACCCTGTGGGGAAAACACCAGAGAAGAAGTTAAAATGTATTTTTTTCCTCACTGACTTAAATTATTTTGCCTCACTGGTTTATGTATTTTATGATACACATGAGATTAAAATCTACTACTGCATGGCAGTGCTAATTATTGCATAGTTGTTAAATGCACTAAACCAATGGTCTGATGCAGCATTCCATGCACTCTGCAAAGTCTTCTGAACATAAAAACATCTGACCAATGGTCCATCTAGCCCAGTATCCTGTCTTCTGACAGTGGCCAATGCCAGGTGCTTCAGAGGGAATGAACAGAACAGGCAATCATAGAGTGATGCATCCCCTGTTGTCTACTCCCAGCTTCTGGCAACCAGGGGCTTGGGACTCCCAGAGCATGGTTGCATCCTTTATAATCTTGGCTAATAGCCATTGATGAATCTAGCCTTCATGAACTCATCTAATTCTTTTTTGAACCCTGTTATTGTTTTGGCCTTCACAACATCCCCTGGCAATGAGTTCCACAGGTTGACTGTGCATTGTGTGAAGTATTTCCTTTTGTTTGTTTTAAATCTGCTGCCTATTAATTTCCTTGGGTGACCCCTGGTTCTTGTGTTATGTGCGGGGGTAAATAACGCTTCCTTATTCACTTTCTCCACACCAGTCATGATTTTATAGACCTCTATCATATCCCTCCTTAGTCGTCTCTTTTCCAAGCTGGAAAAGTCCCAGTCTTTTTAATCTCTTCTGATATGGAAGCTGTTCCACATCACTAATAATTTTTGTTGCCCTTTTCTGTACATTTTCCAATTCTAATGTATATTTTTTTGAGATGGGGTGACCACATCTACACACAGTATTCAAGGTGTGGGCATACAATGGATGTATGTAGTGGTATTATGATATTTCCTGTCATATTATCTATCCCTTTTCTAATGGTTCCTAACATTTTGTTAGCTTTTTAGACTGTCGCTGCACATTGAGTAGATGGTTTCAGCTGTCATGGATGTACCAGTGGGGAATTTGAGTGCACAAAGAACGAGGGACTAGACTCCAAGCTGGAGCATTTTTCTCTGGCCCAGCTCTCTTCTAAAACCCATGTGTTTGTTCCTCTTTCAAGGGACTCTGTCAGGTTACAAGCTATATATATTTTTAAGAAACAAATTTCCTCCACGTGTTACTAATTTTAAAACTGAAAGAATTTAAATAAAAACTCTGACATGTATTTATTTATTTTGCTCTTCACTGGGCTGTTCAATGGTTAAATCCCAAGGAGGGAGTACAGGCCTCTTACTCCCACGCAGGGGAGTGCCAATGTAGAGGTGATACAAAGTAGCTCTTCAGCCACTGTACAGTCTAGACCCAGGGAACCCAGCTCCCTGACCCCTGCAGCAGACTTCCGTGGGTCAGGCCCCTCTGTCTCAGGGACCACCTTTGAGTTGCAATAATCTGCGCAGAGCAAGAAGTGAAGGAGACACAGAAAGGTCTAGGGACTGAAGGAATTTACTCTGAACCTCCCTCAAACTGATGCTTGTGGACGGAGGGGAGGATTGATTTTCAATTTATCTTTTCCTTGCCATATGAGGACACTCTAATACAGTGTGTGTCCAAGTGTGCTCTCAATTACATGAGTATTAAAGGTCTGATTCTATTTTCAGAATCCAGTGTAAATGTGAAGAAACTCCAGAGAAGTAAATAGAGCCCCAGTTTTACAAAACCAATGCAAGAGTAGACTTGATTCCCATATGTCTAATGAGGGAAATAATCTAGTGGTTGAGGCAAGAAACAGTGAGTTAGGAGACATGGGATTTATTCCTCACTCTGCCAGTGACCATGTGACATTAAGCAAATCACTCAATCTCTCTGTTCCTTAGTCCCCCCTTTCCTGTAAAATGGGGGTGCTGCCTTTGTAAGGGGTGTTGAGATCATCGGAAGAAAGGCACTATTTTAGTGCGAAGTATTATTATTTTATGACAAGAGATATTGGGCTAAATCCAGTGGTGTAAATAAACTGCACAGCATGTAACATCAGGAGTGGATGTGCAAAAGTTGCTTATAGCTCATTGTTACAATTGCCCGATTCTGGTGCAGTTCTTCATGAGTCTGATCTGCCTACACAGAGTTAAAGGAGGTTGAAGGCAGAGGGCTGCTCTAACTTACCCAAATACAACAGCCAGAGGGGCCAAAAATGCAGCCTCGGATGATGTGCAAATAGAGGCATCCCAGCAATGTCTCCTGTCCTCTGTCCTCGCCTTATTTTTCCCTATTGTGTTTGCAGGGGATTGGGCCAGAGTGGCCTATTAGTCTCTACAGTGGCATTATACCACTGGAGCACCACCCTTGTGCTGAAGGCATCATCCCTACGACTGTACACACACATAACCAAAAGATAGTCTTTGTCTCAATGAGTTTAGAATCTACGTACAAGACAAGAGACAAATGGATACAGCAAACAGATGGGGGAACACAAGGTAACAGTGAGCTAATTATGATTGGTATACTAAACAGCACTCACAAGGTACAGAGTATGGACTTGCATCTTCAATCCTTATTCATCTGAGTGGTCCTAGTGAAGCCAATGGAGCTGCTCACCTGAGTAAAGGCTGTAGGAATGAATAATCTGTGAGAACATGTGAACCATCCACAGATGTTTTAATCTTTAATTAAAACCTTTAAACTGAAACAACCTCATTATCATGGCTACATGCAGCACTATCATTAAAAAAAAGAGCCGTTTGAATGTTCAGCAAATGGAGCAGTGTGAAAATGTCCATAAATGCTTTATAAAATAACAACAAAACCATTTGACTCGTAAAACAAGAAGTTCAGAGGCTTCTCAGCTGGTTTGTTCTTTACCAAAGCACTTCTATGTCGGAAGGTTTTAATTTCACTTGTGTGGTGTTAACAAGAGCTCAGGAGAACAAGATTTTCTGGCACTCCCGGGTAGCCTTTTAAGAATTACTGTTTTTTAGAAACAAGATTGTTTTCCTTTTTTCTCAGTTGCTAGTCTGGTCTTAATTTCAGGATGGAAACACAGATTTTTTTTTAAAGCTTATTCGGTTCATTTCTTCTTTCTTTTTGTATGTTCCTCTCACTCTTTCTGCTTTTCATCTTCTCATTTTCCTTCCTAAAGTCATTGCATGGAGCTGCTACTGCAGTGATAGTGCAATAGCAGTGCTCAGAAATAACGTATCCTGGTAGTGTAAATACAAACAATGTGCATGGAAAGTAATATGGCTTTCACCCAGAACTGGTTAGAACACTAGGGCTATATTTCCACTACTGTCTCATTAAGATCCAGAACTCTGTGGAAAGGTCACCAGCACACAGCTCTGGTGAGTGTGGTCTGATAGAAACCGTTTGAGCTCCTTGCAAACACCTCAGCAGTTAACTGTGTAGCTGGATTCTTACAGAAGTTTCAGTACCTTGTTCCAGTCTTAAATGGTCTGGAAGACTAAAATGCTGATCTGTATTTTCCTGGAAAATGCTAAAATGATGACGTAGATACGCCCTGTGAGTTCTAGGAGCAAAACCTGGCTCCACAGAAGTTAAATGGGAGTTTTGCCATTAACTACAGAGGGGCTAGGGTGTCAACCTGAGGGTATGTCTACACTACGAAATTAGGTCAATTTTATAGAAGTTGATTTTTAGAAATCGATTTTAAACAGTTGATTGTGTGTGTCCCCACTAAGTGCATTAAGTTGGCGGAGTACATCCTCACTACCGTGGCTAGTATCGACTCAAGGAGCGGTGCACTGTGGGAAGCTATCCCACAGTTCCTGCAATCTCCGCTGCCCATTGGGTTAAGCTCCCAATGCCTGATGGGGCAAAAACATTGTCGCGGGTGGTTTTGGGTACGTCATCAGTCTCCACTCCCTCCGTGAAAGCAACTGCAGACAATCATTTCGCACCTTTTTTCCTGGGTTACCTCTGCAGACGCCATAGCACGGCAAGCATGGAGCCTGCTCAGCTCACCGCTGCTGTTGTGAGCATTGTAAACACCTCACACATTATACTGCAGTATGTGCAGAACCTGGCTAAGAGACGGCAGCACGAGGACAATTGTGATGAGGACATGGACACACACATTCCTGAAAGCATGGGCTGTGGCAATTGGGACATCATGGCAGAAGTGGGGCTGGTTGATACAGTGGAACACCAATTCTGGGCCCAGCAAACAAGCACAGACTGCTGGGATCGCATAGTCTTGCAAGTATGGGATGATTCCCAGTGGCTGCGAAACTTTCACATGCATAAGGCCACTTTCCTGGAACTCTGTGAGTTGTTTTCCCCCTGCCCTGAAGCGCAGGAATACCAGGATGAGAGCTGCCCTGACAGTTGAGAAGTGAGTGGCGATAGCCCTGTGGAAGCTTGCAATGCCTGACTGCTACCGGTCAGTTGGGATCAATTTGGAGTGGGCAAATATACTGTGGGGACTGATGTGATGCAAGTAGCCAATGCAATCACTGACGTTCTGCTATCAAGGGTAGTGACTCTGGGAAATGGGCAGGTCATAGTGGATGGCTTTGCTGCAGTGGATTTCCCTAACAGTGGTGGGATGATAAACGCAACATATATCCCTATCTTGGCACCGGACCACCTTGCCAACCAGTACATAAACCACAAGGGGTACTTTTCAATGGTGCTGCAAGCACTGTGGATCACAAGGGACGTTTCACCGACATCAATGTGGGATGGCCGGGAAAGGTGCATGATGCTCGCATCTTTATGAACTCTAGGCTGTTTGAGCAGCTGCAAGAAGGGACTTACTTACCAGACCAGAAAATTATTGTTGGGGATGTTGAAATGCCAATAATTATCCTTGGAGACCCAGCCTTCCCCTTGCTCCCATGGCTCATGAAGCCATACACAGGCAGCCTAGACAGCAGTAAGGAGCAGTTCAACTATAGGCTGAGCAAGTGCAGAATGGTGGTAGAATGTGCCTTTGCACATTTAAAAGCTTGCTGGCGCTGTTTGCTGACTAGGTTAGACCTCAGCGCAACCAATATTCCCACTGTTATTACTGCTTGCAGTGTGCTCCATAAGATCTGTGAGAGTAAGCGGGAGACATTTATGGTGGGGTGGGAGGTTGAGGCAAATCGCCCGGCTGCCAATTTTGAACAGCCAGACACCAAGGTGATTAGAAGAGCAAAGGTAGGTGCGCTGCGCATCAGAGAGGCTTTGAAAACCAGTTTCATGACTGGCAGGGCTACGGTTTGACAGATGTGTGTGTTTCTCCTTGATGCAAACCCGCCCCCTTTGTTGATTTTAATTCCCTGTAAGCCAACCACCCTCCCCCCTTTGATCACAACTGGCAAAGGAAATAAAGTCACTATGGTTTTGAAACTATGCGTTCTTTCTTTATTAATTAAAAAAAAAAGGGAGATAACTGATAAGGTAGCCCAGGTCGGGGAGGAGGGAAGGACAAGGGCACATTTCTTATTGTAGCCACATTACAAATCAAAACTGTTTGAATGCCAGCCTTCTGTTGCTTGGGCCATCCTCTGGAGTAGAGTGGCTGGGTGCCCGGAACCTCCCCCCCGCGTGTTCTTGGGCGTCTGGGAGAGGAGGGCAAGTGGTTGTACAGTGGATGCAGTGGCGGTCTGTGCTCTTGTTGGCTTTCCTGCAGCTCCACCAGACGCCTGAGCATGTCCGTTTGATTCCCCCATTAACCTCAGCATTGCATCCTGCCTCTTCTCATCGCACTCACTTAATGCTTTCCTGGACTCTGGCACTGAATGCTTCCATGCATTCAACTGTGCCCTATCAGTGCAAGAGGACTGCATGAGCTCGGAAAACATGTCATTGCGAGTGCATTTTTTTCGCCTTCTAATCTGTGATAACCTCAGAGACGGAGATGATAGGGGGAGCATAGAAACATTTTCACCTGCAGGGGGATAAAAAGGGAGAGTAAAATTTAAGATGATACATTTCTGAGAACAAAAGAGAGACTCTTTCATAGTGAATCAAGCAATTCACAGCAGACAGCACATGTGCTTTAGGTACAAGGTCGCATTTTGCCTTTTATATTGAGCGCCTGCCGGTATGGTGACACATCACACACAGCTGGGCAACAGAATTCAGTTTCCAGGCAGCCATGGTAAACCAAAGGGTACGTGGGTTTGGCTTCTAACGCCTTCATAACATGTGGGGATGTTTTCAAACTGTAGCATCCTCCTTTCCCATAGCAAGCAATGCTGGTTAGGTTGCCATTTAAAAAGAGGGGCTGCGGTTTTTGGGTGGATATGCAGCACACCTCTCCCTACACCTCTCCGTGTGGCTATTTGGGATGATCCCTTCACCGCTCCCCGTGCCACATGGCTATGGGATGATCCCTTTTAGCCAAGCGCAAATAGCCCAGTATGAACGGGGTCCTTTTACTGTTCCCTTACAAAAATTTCCCTATTTCAACCAGGTGACCATGAATGATATCACTCTCCTGAGGCTAACACAGAAAGATAAAGACCGAATGTTGCTTGAATGCGACCAAAACCCAGGAACATTTGCTGCCATGCTTTGTACTGCAATGATTCCAGACTACTTGCTACTGGCTTGGCGTGGTAAAGTGTCCTACCGTGGAGGATGAAATAAGGTAGCCCTCCCCAGAACCCTTCTGCAAAGGCTTTCAGAGTTCCTCCACGAGAGCTCCATGGAGATGTTCCTGGAGGACTCCCGCTCCATCCCCAGACACATTAACAGACTTTTCCAGTAGCTGTACTTGCCGCGAATGCATCCCAAGTCTTCAGGGAAAAATCAAACATTAAACACAATTGCTTTTAAACCCTGTACTGTAGTTACAAATGTGCACTCACCAGAGGTGCCTTCTCCGCCTTCAGGGTCTGGGATCCTGCCTTGGGAGGGTGTTGGCTCCAGGGTGATGAAAAGGTCCTGGCTGCCGGGGAGAACGGATTCACCGCTTGCCTGCTGCGCATTCTCCTCCTCCTCCTCTTCCTCATACACAAAATCCTCCTCCATGTTGCGTGAGACTCCCCCTTTTCAGGTGTCCATGGACAGTGGTGGAATAGTGGTAGGGTTCCCCCCCCCCGAGAATGCCATGCAGCTGATCATAGAAGCGGCATGTATGGGGCTCTGACCCAGAGCAACCGTTTGCCTCCTTTGTCTTTTGGTAGGCTTGCCTGAACTTCTTGACTTTCACGCGGCACTGCTGTGTGCCCCTGTTGTAGCCTCTGTCCATCATGCCCTGTGCGATTTTGGCATATATATTTCTTCTTTTTGATCGGAGTGCTGCCTGCAGAGATTCTTCTCCCCATACAGCAGTCAGATCCAGTGTCTCCCGTTCGCTCCATGCTGGAGCTTGTTTGCGATTCTGGGGGGACTGCATGGTCACCTGTGCTGCTGAGCTCGCTACGCTGACCAAACAGGAAATTAAATTCAGAAGTTCCTGGGGCTTTTGCTGTGTACCTGATGTACCTAGTGCATCAGAGTTGAAAGTGCTGTCCAGAGAGATCACATTGGAGCACTCTGGGATAGCTCCCGGAGGCCAATAACGTTGATTTGCATCCGCACTACCCCAAATTCAACCCAGCAAGGTCGATTTTAGCGCTACTCTCCTCACCGGGGAGGAGTACAGAAATTGATCTTAAGAGCCTTTTAGGTCGACGGAACGAGGTTGCTTACGTAGCCGCATTAATTATAAAATCGACCTAACGCGACTAAATTCGACCTAATCCTGTAGCGTAGACCAGGGCTGAGTCACTTCTAGTGGTAATTGTCAGGAACAATTTTGGATGGATTTCCTTTGCAGTTAAACACAAGTTAGGTGTGTCTGATCCAGGGCAATAAAGACAGATGCTGTAGCATTGCCTAAATTCTAACTAGAGCTTCCTTGACAGCTCAGGTTCCTTACAGTGAGCTCATATACCATCTAGTGATCCAGCAAGGAACTGCAACTTGTAATGTTTGTGACACATGAAAATAAGAACAAACTAATTTTGATAATTTAGTGCCAATTCTTACTAAACTAAAGTGTAACCTCTGTTTTAATTTTAATATTGGATGTGTCCTCTGTCTGGGGACTAAAGAGTCACCAACTCTTATGATTTTATCATGAGCCTTGTGATATTTGGTGATTGTTTTCAGAGTCCCAGCTCCTGGAAACATGTGATTGAATTACAATCTCAGCTATTATTCAAATAAAAAAGTAAGTTAAATCACATTATCCTTCTCAATAAAAGTTGGCATCTCATTAGTGCTTGATCCAGGTCTTTTCCACTGCTGAGGGTTACAAGTGGTTTATGGTCTGTTATCAGTGTAAATGAATCCAATCCACACAGATATTTGTAAAAGTTCTCACAAGGGAAAGGGATGTGGTAAGTGATAAGCAACACAGGTTCATCAAACAAATATGTCAGATATACAATAAAAATATAGCTTTGGGGCTAGCAAAAAACAACCAAGGATTCCCCCCCGATGCAGGGGAAACCTTGAGTGGTGCGTAGCCAGCTATACATCTCTTGCTCCCCCTCATTTCCATGTAGGGAGCATGTTGAAGGTGGCGAGGTATGGCCAAGAAGGAGTGGTGCAGAGTGCACAGTACTCACCCAATCTTGGGCAGGCACAGCATCTGGCTGCAGCCAGCGTAATTTAGAATAGCCCTTAAAGCAGCCACTTTGACACCCTAGGGGCCACTTTGACACCTAGCTGACCCAGAAACAGGGGAATGGGAAGGTGGCTTTAAGCTATTGCTACCCCTCATCCCACTCCTCAACTGTACCAAGTGTAAACTCAGTGCAGCTGAGGTCTTGCGCCCTGCTGAATAAAATGTTATTGTGTTATCAACAAAGCTTTTGATATAGTATCACATAAAGTTTAAGGAGCTGAAAAAAATGCTCTATGAATAGAAATACCATAATATGGGTTACTAGTTTGCCAACAGATAACTAGCAGCCAGTGATTATTGACAGGGTAGCATTACAAAAATTGGAGGAAGAAATGGTGTCCTTCAAAGATCAACCTGGTGGACTTTTACTTTTCAATGTACTATACTCATTAATAGTCTGGTGGTAAACTTCAGACTGATAAATTCCTGATTGATTGATTTAAATTTGAGGAAGATACTATGCTAGGAAGACTAGTAAAGATCTGAGAGAATAGATCAGAATTGCAAAACAAGCTGAGAGAGACAGATATAAATGGAGGTGATTTCATATGCAGTAGATAGATGTAAACTAATACACTAGGAAAAAAATATAATCCAAATAGATATACAATGGGAGACTTCTATTCAGAAGTAGGAATGCAGAAAAAGACATGGAAGATATAATGAACTATGAACACAATATAAGATTATTGGCAAAGGCAGATGCTATTTTAGGATGTATAATCTCTGGTTTTGGTCCTGCAATGAGCATCATGTGGGCACAGAGCACACTGAAGGATTGGGTCTAAATGAAACAATGCTGTTTTACACATCCTCAGCCAGTTTCCAGCTGAGAAGGGACACATGGATTTTAATGCAATGTTGCAGGTAAAAGCACAGGTAAAAGCTTTTTGACTTACATTTAACTGTTTTTACATTTTTGTTCACATCTACAATGTGTAAATGGACCGCTTTTTGATCAAATAAGGTGTTCAGCTTCAATATGAGCTACAATTTATAAAATAAATGAAAACTTAACAGTTAGGTTGTTGGTATACAGAGACCCCTGCCTTTCATGGTGACAAATACTGTCTCATTGTCTCAAGCATAAGTAAAAATATTCTCCCTGGGGGCTGAGTAAAACCATCAGGCCCTGCTTTCCAGAGGATTGCTGTCTTTACTGCAGCACAGTGCAGAGGGCAGGCTCAGGGGAGGGGACAGCTGGGGAATGAGACTGCCCCACACTCACCTGCAGAGGCAGCTTCTGTTCTCTGGGAATGGGCCTGGCTCCCCATTCTGGCCTATTGGCTCTCACCACTTGCATATTTGCTGTAGTGGGCTCCTTTGAATCGGGGGCGGGGGCTGGACGTGTCAGAGCTGAATCCCCAGGCCAGCACTTCGATTGCAGAAGGTGGGGGCCCGCAAGGATTTTAAAAATTAATACTTGCCACACCAGGCTTGTATTAACTCCCAAGGTTACAGCTTTTCTCTGACCTCGGGTTGGTAAACGTTGCCACCACTCAAATGCAAAACCCCCCTTGGACTCAGGAAGGTGCACTTGGGAATTCCTCCCTGTGGGGTACCCTCAAGCCCTTTCACCCCCCACTCCGGGGAAGCGCTGAGAAAGAAAACAAAGAAAATTAGCTGTTGCCACCAGCTAGTTAAATAATATATGCACAAACCTCTTAGGGCACCAAAAATCCAATCCTGTTCTTAAAAAAGGTAAACTTAATTAAAAACACAAAGGAAGAAAATACATCTGGAGCTTAGGCTTTTGCTAGATTTTAAAAGAGCAATTCCAAAAATTAAGTACCAAGAATAGCTTTCTTGGAGTCCAGCAAACAACAGAACCTGGGGGTTAGCACAGAGGAGATCTACAAGCCTGATCATGTCTATTTAAACATTCCCTGTCCCAATGATTCCTTTTAGGTATGGAAGATAAATGTTCATACATGGTTCAAACCTTACACAGCATTCCTGCTCATTGCATTGCTGCTCCATGTCTCCTTCTCTGAAGAACAACAGACAAAGGGAAAGTTTCTTTCCCAATTTTAAAAAGTTCTAGCCTTTCCATTGGCTCTTTTGGTCAGGTGCCTACTTCCTTTTTTTTTCGTGGGGGACTTTTTAACCCTTTACAGGTAAAGCAAGCAGAGAACAGCTACCAAGAGGGATTTTACAGCTAATTGGCTGGCTGGGTGTCCATAAAAGGGAAGTAAAAGCCTTCGTATCACCCCAAGAAGACAAGGAAGAGGAGGGGAGAGAAAAGGGAAAAAGTCACCAGCCCCACAGTAGGAGCTGGGGGCATTTGGGCTGATCTGTAGGGCAGATGGACTTGGGTGTTGAGAACAGGAGAGGGACCTTGGGGGGACCAAGCAGTGGTGGAGCACTGCAGCGGGCAGGGGTGAAGAGGGAGATGGTGTGGGAATTGGGGGAATAGGGAAAGTTTTAAGAGGTGGGTTACTGGGGGATTGGGCTTGAAGGGATGGTGAGCAGTGGCAGGGGAGGATTAGGGGTTGGGGAGGTGGGCTTTGGGGAGTGGAGGGAGGGTTTTATCAGGGTGTTCAACTTCACCCGGGGGAGAGTTTATTTCGGGAGATGGGGGTTAGAGTGGCAGGAAGGTGGGGCCTGTGGCAGGAGGAGGTTTTGTGCACTTTGGTTCATTTGGGGAGTTGGGGTGTGTTTATTTGGGGACAGAGTAGCAGGGGGTTGGATAGGTTTAAGCGGTGGTTGGGGAGCTGGGGGCATTAGTTGGGAGTTGGGTGGAGGTGTGGGGATAGGTTATTTGGGGGGGTCTATGGCATGGGGGGGGGTTGGAGTAGGGGCTGTGGAGGGGCTAGGAACGCAGGGAGCTTGCGGCAGTGCCAGTGGCCACAGGTGGTTGTATATGGCTCCCTCCTTCCCAGCCCATTCCCCGTCTCCTCCCTCTGTCTTGGTTGCTCTCCTCCCTCCCTTGCTGGCTCCAGCTACGGCTGCAGGCACTGGGGAGGGATGGACTTGCTATTGCTGTACCAGGGATGGAGTTCACTTGCTGGGCGCTGGCCACACTCGGCATGGACTCTGTCTGCAGCACCATGCTGAGGCCTTGTGGTTTAGCCTCATCACTGGGTTCCAGGGACTCTCTCTGCTCATCGTGCTGCTGGACAGCCAAGCAACTCAGCACCGAGCTGGCCCCAGCATTGCCAGAGATGGGTCTTTGCCTGTGGAGCTGGGCTTTGCATGCAGGCAGCGGGATGGTTCAGGCTTGAGAGGGTTGAACCCCATCTAGCCCTAGCAACCCACTGCCTAGCCTCATTGTCCTCCCCCATAAATCTATCTGTTGCCTCATCTTAGATTGTAAGGTGTTTGGAGAAGGGACCATCTGCTGTACAGACCTAGCACTATGGGTTCCTGGTCTAGATCCAAGGTGCTGCTGCACTGGAGATAATACTAATAAATAGTGCTCCAACAGGTGAAAAAAAAAAAAGGCATGACCACAACATATGAACCAACCATAAGTGACAAAACACAAAAAAGAATAGCCTCAAGAGTGTATGAAACTGCTTTTTGTGGTGTTGTATAAGACCTATTTTACATCTTATACAAAATAAACAAAATTTGCTATTAGGAAAGTTTGTTGATACACTGGAACAAATCACCTTTCCATTCTCTTTTTCCTATCTAACTATATATAGGCCTCATAAGGGTTTCTTCAGGTATGTTAGCAAAAGAAGAAAGTCAAGGAAAGTGTGGGCCCCTTACTGAATGAGGGAGGCAACCTAGTGATAGAGGATTGGAAAAAGCTATTGTACTCAATGCTTTTTTTGCCTCTGTCTTCACGAACAAGGTCAGCTCCCAGACTACTGCACTGGTCAGCACAGCATGGGGAGGAGGTGACCAGCCCTCTGTGGAGAAAGAAGTGGTTCGGGACTATTTAGAAAAGCTGGACGAGCACAAGTCCATGGGGCCGGATGCGCTGCATCCGAGAGTGCTAAAGGAGTTGGCAGATGTGATTGCAGAGCCATTGGCCATTATCTTTGAAAACTCATGGCGACTGGGGGAAGTCCCAGACGACTGGAAAAAGACTAATGTAGTGCCCATCTTTAAAAAAGGGAAGAAGGAGGATCCTGGGAACTACAGGCCAGTCAGCCTCACCTCAGTCCCTGGAAAAATCACGGAGCAGGTCCTCAAGGAATCAATTCTGAAGCACTTAGAGGAGAGGAAAGTGATCAGGAACAGTCAGCATGGATTCACCAAGGCCAAGTCATGCCTGACTAAACTAATTGTCTTCTATGACGAGATAACTGGCTCTGTGGATGAGAGGAGCACAGTGGATGTGTTGTTCCTTGACTTTAGCAAAGCTTTTGACACTGTCTCCCACAGTATTCCTGCCAGCAAGTTAAAGAAGGATGGGCTGGATGAATGGACTATAAGGTGGATAGAAAATTGGCAAGATTGTTGGGCTCAACGGGTAGTGATCAATGGCTCCATGTCTAGTTGGCAGCCGGTATCAAGTGGAGTGCCCCAAGGGATGGTCCTTGGGCCGGTTTTGTTCAATATTTTCATAAATGATCTGGAGGATGGTGTGGATTGCACCCTCAGCAAGTTTGCAGATGACACAAAACTGGGAGGAGAGGTAGATACGCTGGAGGGTAGGGATAGGATACAGAGGGCCCTAGACAAATTAGAGGATTGGGCCAAAAGAAATCTAATGAGTTTCAACAAGGACAAGTGCAGAGTCCTGCACTTAGGACGGAAGAATCCCATGCACCGCTACAGACTAGGGACTGAATGGCTCGGCAGCAGTTCTGCAGAAAAGGACCTGGGGTTACAGTGGACGAGAAGCTGGATATGAGTCAACAGTGTGCCCTTGTTGCCAAGATGGCCAATGACATTTTGGGATGTATATGTAGGGGCATTGCCAGCAGATCGAGGGACGTGATCGTTCCCCTCTATTCGACATTGGTGAGGCCTCATCTGGAGTACTGTGTCTAATTTTGGGCCCCACACTACAAGAAGGATGTGGAAAAATTGGAAAGAGTCCAACGGAGGGCAACAAAAATGATTAGGGGACTGGAACACGTGACTTATGAGGAGAGGCTGAGGGAACTGGGATTGTTTAGTCTGCAGAAGAGAAGAATGAGGGGGGATTTGATAGCTGCTTTCAACTACCTGAATGGGGGTTCCAAAGAGGATGGATGTAGACTGTTCTCAGTGGTAGCTGATGACAAAACAAGGAGTAATGGTCTCAAGTTGCAGTGGGGGAGGTTTAGGTTGGATATTAGGAAAAACTTCTTCACTAGGAGGGTGGTGAAACACTGGAATGCATTACCTAGGGAGGTGGTGGAATCTCCTTCCTTAGAAGTTTTTAAGGTCAGGCTTGACAAAGCCCTGGCTGGGATGATTTAGTTGGGGATTGGTCCTGCTTTGAGCAGGGGGTTGGACTAGATGACCTCCTGAGGTCCCTTCCAACCCTGATATTCTATGATTCTCATCCCTTTAGTCTATTTCCAGGCCAATGGTCCAGCGTAGTATTTTAGGTATCTAGTTTTGGTATAGTCTGGATATAGCATATAACCACAGGGATGTTTGTTTTGTAGTGGGGGTTGAGGTATATTTTGCATCTCACAGTGAGTCTTAAGGGTAGATCTATAGTGGGCATCGATTGTCATAGCTCCATTGAAGTAAATGGAACTATGATAATTTACACCACCTGAGGATCTTTCCCTTAATTTTCAATTTCAAATTTTCAGGTTTTTTTCCTATGAAGCTGTATGCATTCACAGTAATTTTGCTTTGATTAATTAGGTCCCTTAAGGGTCCAAACCTGCTATCCTTTTTTAGGTCAAAGTCCCATCAAGATCAATGGGAATTTGGCCTCATTACCAACTACAGTATCAGGTTCTGGTTGAGCAAAGGATTAAGTCTGTTGTTGCTGAACAAGCCCATTACCAGTAAAAGTATTTATTTGTTTAATTTCCAACTATTATTTGGCTCAGACTGACAGGAAGCACTTTATATAGCAATACAGGCTGCCACATTAACATCTCCTTGGATAGAATTATGTCAAATTTTGTTGAATAGTGCTAACGATATGTACGACTTTCTCAAATCTTACAAGAGTTTGGTGATTTAAAAAAATCTTTGAATTTTTGTTTCAAACTCTTTAATATCCTTCAGTTATCTTTTTTGATGAAAGAGACGATATTGATTTTCTCCCAGTGCCCCCATTTTCTGGTGTAAACTGGGTGTTATCTTCATTACAGTGTTGCCCAAAAGATTTGTGGTCTATCAAGCTCCGACTGCAGATTCTGAAGTGTAATCCAAATATTCTTAGTTACATTACTTAAGCTTTTAGTTTTGCCAAGATTTCTTAAGTGAAGGGCAAATGATTCATGACCTACTGCAGACTATATGCTGTGTGAAGTTACACTTCCTTTCACTGGTTCAACTTTTACCAGCCTTTTGTTGCAGAGAGGATGTTTGTACAATAGACTTCTCGGTCCTATTTGACAACAGGAACTAAACACAGCATCCTACATTTTTATTGTCTCATTGGTGTTAACAGGATCAACTGAATTTTACACCCATTTAAAGAAAGCGTGGCTGACCTTTGCATGAATTTCTCCACACTCACTAAATGGCTGTCACCCTCCACTCCAAAGATGGTAGTGCTTCAATGGTACTGTATGCATAGAGTTTGTAAGGTGGGGACATTTGGGTTGAAAGGTTCCATGTCTACACTGGAAAAACTAATCCCCAAATTCTCATTGCTTCTAACTTTTGGTTCAGGTGATGTGATGTTAAAGCTGGTCTACACAGTCTACAAAAGGGCATCGGTGGCTGGAAGTTTTTGGCCACAAATTTAGTTAAATCTGTTGAAAAAATAGACTGGTAAAAAAAAAAGAGGTTCAAGATGCTGGAGTCTTGCATACATTGGCTCCCACCATATTCACTAGTTCAGCTAAGCTAGAGTCAGACCTGATGGGAATTATTTTGATAAATTTCTCCAGTGCAGGCAAGGCTTTAGAGCCACAAACAGAAGTGGGCTAAAAATTCAAAGTGT